TTCCGATCTTTGTTAGATGAGATTTGTAATTTGGAAACTAGATAAAATTTAAGTATGTATTAATTTACGATTATTTAGCTTAGGGAAAAAGTAAAATATCCTAATTGATATGAGTTTCTTATTAAAATATCCTAATTATTGATGTGGGTTTCTTAGTAAAATACCCTAATTGTGTTTTTGGGTTATCCTGATAGTTTATTGAGGAGAGAATCATGAAGAAGATTGATTACAATATGGAGTATTATTATTTTGTGCAAATTTAATTAACAATATTATTTGATTGAGGGAGATCTAAATTACCTCATAAACACTTGTCTCTTTTAGTATTGTATTATTGGGTAAAAAGGAGAAAATAAAGGATGAAAAATTCGAAAAAGCCAAACGTTTTACCTCTCATCTTCCTCTTTTTCCTATGTACGCTAAACATTAGCAAGGGTGAAGATAATTGCAACACAATGAGCTGCAAGACTTCGAACGACATCATCAACATCTTGGTCGCCTATCCTTTCCGGTTAGCAGATCGTCAGTCCAAGTCGTGTAGTTCTGCAGGATTCGACGTGTATTGTGATGACAAATCAGGATTCCTCCTAGAGCTCCCTAATGCGGGGAACTTCACTATCGATGCCCTCGATGGCTCTTTGAGACTTATAGAGCTTTCGGATCCGAACGATTGTCTACCAAATAAGTTATTGTCTCTAGATCTTTCCGCGATAACTCCATTGCAACTAATTGACAAAAGTGAGGATTTTTGGGTGTATAACTGCTCTAATGTTGGTGACTTTTCTGATCCCTTCGGGTTGTACGATAAGATTGATTGTCTTAGCAGTTCAAATTATACCGTTCTAAGTGTATCATTAGGTCCAATTGCCGATGAATCTAATTGTGTGTTGCTTAAGAACGTGTCGGTTCCTCTAGCTTCGGCGACTTTTGGCAATTACAGTAAGCTTAGTAATTATTCAAGTATCGAGCTTAGTTGGGATACTAGCCAGTATTATTGTGATTCATGTGGTAACTCTGGTAAGTGACTCTTTTATTTCAATTCGCTATTTTTGTTCAACAATGCTTATTATTCGCGCTTATATATAATATTCCGTATATACTTCATCGAGACATTGTTGTGTATGTATGAAGGTGTGGGTTTACTTGTGGTATTGTTATTAGCTAGTGTGGTTTAGTTATAAAATAATAGGGCAATTTGATTGCGGTCAATTTTAAGAAATTGTGTTCAAATAATAATATGATTGCTTAATCTATGAATTAGGTTGTTACATACTTCAAATAAAATTATAAGACCTTTCAACTATTGGACTAAGCTTGAAATTAAAACAAAACAAATACAACTTGTAACAAAACAGATCGTATTGGACTATTGGGTAAAAACAGTAGGAAATTAAACCATGAAAAAGGAATTGATTAGTTGCTAGTCTTGCTACTAGAACGGTACAACTTGTGGAATTTTATTTGCCCTTTGTCTAGTAATTTTGACCTGAATTCTTCCTCCTACAGCTTCTAGCTCCGGCAATGGCGGCAAAACATCAGATTGGTCATTTATTGAATTCGCAGGATTAGCAGCAGTATTAGGACTCGCCTTGGTAGTATTTTTTGTTTGCTGCAGAGTCAGACCTCAGCCGCCGTCAGGGAGAAATGTGGTAGCACATGCTGTTGCTATCACAAGTACAAATCAGGCAGTCTCACAAGGGCAAAGTTCAACACCATCTAATAATGTACATCGAGGAGGAGGACTCCATCAGGTTACAATTGACTCGTATCCAACCTTGTTGATTGGTAAGAGTGGCCGCCTGATCAAACCAGATGATGGCATTTGTTCAATTTGCTTGACGGATTACCTCCCTGGTGACAAACTAAAAATATTACCGGAGTGCCTTCATCGCTTCCATGTTTGTTGTATTGATTTATGGTTATCGGCTGAATCCACTTGCCCCATTTGTAGAGCTTCTCCACCTTGCAATCCTTAATTAAGCTAATTGATCACCATCATCATGTGAAAATTATTATACCAGTAAACTCATATGTTACGCGTTATAAAAATGCCATATATTTATGTTTGTCATTCATCAATTGTATTAGTAATCAAAGTAGTGTTTTATGTAAAACAATTGGGTATATACAAGGTGTAACAAATTTTTTATGATAGATTTTGGTCAGTATGTTTATTCAAACTATCTCCTTTCTCAAAACCCTTTTGTACCCCATCGACCGTCGTCCACTAACAAACATGATTTGAAGCACTACTACATCCAAGTATCTAATCGACTTTACAAAATTCAAACTAAACACTATTTGACCAATCTGAAATCACTCGAAGCTAAATAAATATTGAATAAATTGATTCAAGGCATATTCTAATATAATTTGAAACATAGATTTGGCTAATTTAATTATACTACATCAAGTTTTTAACAAAGTCAACGATACAAAAGTCAATATTTTTATCTTTGAATTAGCACTAGTTATTTTTGTAAACACAAGATCGGATGTCGATAGCAACTAGATTATGCTTGAAACAACTAGATTATGTCGATACCAATTACGTACCAATGGTATTTGGTAAACACAGGAAAATAAAGCATGAAGAATTTCAGAAGGTTAATCATTTTCCCTCACATAATCTTCTATTTTGTATGTATATCAAAGATGAGCAGTGCTGAATATTGCGGCGTAATGAGCTGCCAGAAGAAAGTATCTTCCAACTTCATCTACAACAATATATCAATCATGTCTCCTTTTCGGTTAGTAAATCATCATCCCGAGTCTTGTGGTTTTCCCGGATTCGATGTGTATTGTGATGATAAGTTAGGCCCCCTCCTTGAGCTACCTAATGCTGGAAACTTCACCATCGATGAGATATACTACTATTTGAGACTAATAGAGCTTTCAGATCCAAATAATTGTCTTCCACAAAAGCTGTTATCTCTAAATCTTACCTCGATAACTCCTTTCCTGCCACAAAGTAGCAAGGGTTTTTGGGTGTATAACTGCTCTGGAGATGGTGATTTTATTGATCTCTTCAGCTCGTATGAAAAAATTGAGATAAAGATTGTTTCTGTTCCACAACGTTATATTGGTTTCAGTCAATTGAGTTATTATTCAAATATTGAGCTTACTTGGGATGAAAAGTATTGTGATTTATGTGGTGAGTGACTTCTAGCTCGATCTTTAGGATTCGTTGTATTCTTACGTTTCTTCATTTCTTGTTTAGCCCCCTTGTTTTTGAAAAAATTCTACAGTAGTCATTCTTAAAACGACCAATTAACATATAGTCCTAATATTTTCGGTCTGGTAATCTGGTATATGCTAAAATTTTTGTACCAAGATATATATGAAGTAACATATAGTCCTAAAATTAATTTGATAGCTAATAAATTGTGTTAATTAATTTGTACTTTGCCTAGAAAATTTGACCTGAACCCCTCCTCAGACAGCTACTAGATCCCGCAATAACCCAAGTTCAACGCAATTCTATTGGATCGGAGTAGCAGCAGTAGCACTCGCTTTTATAACATTTGGTGTTTGTTGCATTTGTGGCTCTGAATCGTCAGGGAGAAACGTTGAAGCACCAGTTGTCGATGCTACCACAAGTACAAATAATCAGGCAATCTCACAGAGGCAAAGCTCAACACCTTGTAATGTACATGGAGGACTTGATCAGGTCACGATTAACTCATATCCAACCGTGTTGATAGGCCAGAGTGGCGGCCTGATCAAACCAGATGATGACAATTGTTCAATATGTTTGACTGAGTACTTAGCTGGTGACACCCTTAAGATATTACCAGAGTGTCTTCATCGCTTCCATGTCGATTGTATTGATCCATGGCTATCGGTTGAATCCACTTGCCCAATTTGTAGAACTTTTCCATCGCGCAATTCTTAATTAAGCAACTTGTTGATCATCATCATGTGTAATATATTATACTAGCAATCTGCGTGTTGTAATAAAGCCATATACCGATGTTTGTCATTCATCAAATGTATTATTTGTATATATGTAGAGCTTTTTCTTATAAAACATTTGTGTACATATAAGGGGTAATTAAACGAATTATGTGTATGACAGATTTTTTTTTTCCGTATGTTAATGGAAAATACCCTCCTCACCCACCCATATAGAGTCAACTACTATATAATTCGTTATCCACATATGAGTTAATCCACATTGAAAAAAGAGAAAAAAGTCCAGTTAATAAAAAACAATATCTTAATTAAGTAGGACTCTAGCACGTTGCTCTTAGATATGATGAATCAATTAATTCATAGATGATCACTCTCAACAGAGGAGGACCTTTCACCGGGGTCCTTTGGGGCCAGGCCCCCGATAAATTATTGTAATTAATTAATTAATTAACTTAAATAATCTTATTTTTCTTATAAAATATTGGGACATATAGTGATTAGTTTTGAGTGAGAGGTAAAATATTCATATCCCGGCCCCTCTAATATTTTCGGCCAAGATTCGCCACCGACTCTCAAGTTAGCTATTATCTGTACCTATATTGTTGGAAAGAAATCGCTTAAGACAATGACATTCTGATGCTCTGTATATACTGGTACAGTAGCACAACATACCCAAATAATCATTTATAAATCGTTTTTGGATCTTGACTAATAACAAGTCAAAGCAACGTATATATAGAACAGCATACCCAAAAATCATTGATAAATCGTTTTTGAAGCTTGACTAATAAGAAGTCAAAACAACATATGTTAGTTTAAACATGTAGGTTGGTCTCTTCCTAGTCTAAAGAGTTGGTCCATGGTTTGGGGAATTTACAATATTAGAAATCAACTCTATTTCTTGCAATAATCAAAAGCAATGACGAGAGCTAGGATGATTCATATTTCAATTCATTCGTAGTTTTTAATGAGTTACAACTCTTCATAAACTACTTCATATTGGACTAGTTATAATCGTGTTAATAACCATGAGAAAATCCAAAACACTCATCTTATATTCTCTCATCTCCATCCAATTCCTATGTATGTCAAAGACGAACAATGCCGAGACATGTGACACAAGAATCTGCAAGAAAACACCGTCTTTCAACAATAATAGTACCATCGAAAAAGACTACGTCTCAATACAATTTCCATTCAACTTAATAGATGGTAAGGTCAGTTGTACTTGTGGCTCTCCCGGATTTGACATGTACTGCGACAACAAACTAGGAGGGCCGCTCCTTGAACTCCCTAACGCCGGAAACTTCACCGTCGATTACATAATCTATCCTACAAGAGAAATAAAGCTTTCGGATCCAAATAATTGTCTTCCACAAAAGCTCTTATCTTTGGATCTTACAACTTCACCATTTCGGCCAGAAAGTCTGGTTAGTAAATATCAAGTGTATAACTGCTCCGGGGATGCTGATAATTACCGCTTATTCTACGGTAAAATTGGTTGTCTTGAAGGTTTGAATTATACCATTATAGGTGCCGGTCCAAACACTAGAGTTGTCAATTCCAATTGTACGTTTGTGAAGAATGTTTCTGTTCCAACTATCTTTGACTATAACCATTACAATGAGCTGAATCAACATTCTAGTATTTACCTTACTTGGGATATACAAGTACATACCTGATACCTGTCTTCATCCAAGTGGTAAGTAACGCCATTTTAAAACGTTTTAAAATTTTAGGATTTTCTAAGCTATACTGCTAAGGTAGTTGAGTTTCTAAGGTGTACCCATGTTTTTTCAAGTTTCTAAGCCGTGCCCTTCAGCTTCTTATCAATACTAAAATGTACCCTTATTAGTTATTTAAAAGTTAATTGAGAGTGTGATTTCATGGCTTTAGTTTTCGTTATTAGGGTTGTTGTAGTTAAGATTTCTTTCTCGTATCATTTCCTTACCTTTTATCATCTTTTTATAAATTTATAGTTAAGTTTAGGTGACATGGAAGTCCCAAGGAGGGTACCATTCATTAATGGTAGTGAGTTGAGGGGCACAACTTAGAAATTTGAAAAAGCATGGGTACACCTTAGAAACTCGGCTACCTTAAGGGCATAGCTTAGAAAAACCCTAAAATTTTTTAGAATTAATTACTTAAATTGTTTGTTTTAGTAAGCCATACATTTCGGTATAGTATTTCCCTTGAAAATTTTCCCTTTAATTTGTAATTATATTTTATAATTTTATAACGAAGTTTTAATTTTTGAATTATTTAAATATTGATTGATTAAATCATTTTTGAAGAGTTATATGTGAAAACTAAAATAGTAGTCATGTGAGCTCTAGGTTGATTCATTTTTATGTACATTTTTATGTAAACTTTTATAATTCATGTAAAGGAGTAGTGTATAGGCAAGCCTAAAACTCATAATTTTGCAAGTTAATTGACTAACCTTATTATATTTTTAACAATAAGTAAATATTTTGTAAATGTTTTGCATCAATATACATAAATTATTTCACATAGTTGGTACTTTGTCTAGAGTATAAATTTTAACATGGACTCCGATCCTCTAACAGCTGCTAGCTCGCGGGAGCGAAAACCATCAAAATATTTTTGGATAGGAGTAGCAGTATCAGCACTAGTAGCCGTCTCCTTGATTCTATTATTAGTACGCTGCTATCGCGGTTCCCTGTTCTCATGGAGAAATGTTGAAGCATCAACCACTGCCACCACAAGTACAAATCAAGTCGGACTAGATCAGATCACAATTAACTCATATCCGACGGTGTTGATAGGCAAGAGCGGGCGCATGATCAAACCCGATGATGACAATTGTCCAATATGCTTGGTGGATTACATCCCTGGTGACTCCCTTAAAGTGTTACCAGGGTGTCTTCATCGCTTCCATGTTGATTGTATTGATTTATGGCTTTCTGCTAAACCTACTTGTCCAATTTGTAGAACTTTTCCACCTCTAAATTCTTAATTATGCTACTTGCTGATCATTGACAATTTGCATTGTTATGTATAATTTATTTAAGTGGCAGTCTCACATATTGCGTGTTACAAGACTAATATCAATGATGTATATATAATATGTTTTGTCATTTAATTAATGTATAGCGTTTTCTTTATGAAACAATTGTGTATGTATCCAAGACATTACAAATTTTACCTTTATCTAGGGAAAGATGTAAGTTTTCTTGATGTTGAAAGTGATTTAAACAAACTGATCTCCGCTCTGAAAATAATTAATTACGTAAGCTCTTTTGAAAGGTAGTGATCCAAAAAGTTTTCAAATTTTCTCTAATCAGCGTGTTTCATAGCGCAAGAAAATGACTACTAATATCATGTGATATATTTAGACCTTTTATCATACCATATGCATGTAATAGACTCCACTTTTTTTCTTTATTTATTTAAAAAAATATATGTAATACAAGTATAGGTTTCACAAATTATCATATGTGGCTGACCACATCGTATAACTGGGGTTACTTATTTAGAGGTTACTAAGTCGGTCAGTGATTACTTATTCAGGTGTTACCTGGTCGGTCAGAAGGGGATACTTGATTGGTCAAAGGTTACTCTTACACAAAAAATGGCTTAAGCGAATAAGTAACCCCATGCTAAGTGACCCTTGACTGAGTGAATAACCCCAAAATAAGTAACCCTGAGTAACCCTAAAATAAGTAACCCCAAGTAGAAAAAGCACCGTGTAAGTTTTTAAATTGAGACTACTATGTACTTAGTACGTACTACGTACTACGTTCATTATTTCATGAAATTGTTGATTTGTTGAGCTATAACTCTATAAGTCCTTTCTATGCGGAGAGGTCCATGTTCTTTGTGTTCTATAGTTAGTTAGAGGCAAATTTTGGCACATCCTAAGGAGTTATTGACCTTAGACATCATTTGAATTCTGAACCATCCACCACTTATAATTTAATTTTCTTATCAGTTATAAAATGAATACTTTCAGATATTAAGTCAATACATGCATATATAATTTATGCTAACTGGCTGGTACAGCATTTTCAATTTCTAATAGTTTGATTTGCTCTTGGTGATTGACTCGGAAGTATAGACACGTCGACACTATATATACTTAATTTAAGATATAAATGGAATTCTGCCCTTTCCATAACTTAAAGAGCTGCTCCATAATCCATTAAAAAAAATAAAAAAAAAAACACATTTTTTATATTGAATCAATCCCTTTCTTTGCAACAAACAAGTCAATGAAAAATGCTAGACCAATTCATCATTGAATAAGTACATGTTTAAATGATTTTTTTCAGCAATTAGATTAAGCCTAACGTTTAATTTTATTAGGGATGAGAAAATGTGGAGTCCACTTAATACAATCTTACAATTTCTCAACAAAAATAAAACATGAAAATTTCTAGCAAATTCATCATATTTCTTCTCCTATTATCACTTCATTTGCTATGTATGCCAAAGAAGTGCAACGCCGAGCCTTGCAAGGCCACGGTATGTAATGGAAACGTTTCGCTCGTGTCAATACCGATCAAGTTTCCTTTCCGAATAGTCGGTCATCAAGCTAAGTCTTGTGGTTCTCCTGGCTTCGATTTGTATTGTGATCATAAATTAGGCAACCTTCTTCGTCTACCAAATGCCGGAAACTTCACCGTCGATGCTATATCCTATTCTTTGAGGGAAATAAAGCTTTCGGATCCAAGTAATTGTCTACCGCAAAAGTCGTTATCATTAGATCTTACCACAACCCCTTTTCGAGGGGTAAGGCTAAACGATTTTTGGGTGTATAACTGCTCTAGAGTTGGTGATCGTAGCGATTTATATGATGAAATCGACTGCCTTAGAGGTTCGAATTACACGATTATTAGTGTACATCGAGGTGTTAATGTTACTAATACTAATTGCAAGTTATTGAAGATTGTTTCTGTTCCAACATATTATGGTTTACACAAACTTAACATAACTAGGCTGAGTAATTATTCAAGCATCGACCTTACTTGGGACAAGCAAAAATGTGAGTCATGTGGTAAGTTAATAAATTTGTAACGTTAATTTTCATTTTGTCACATACATTGATTTCTTAGCTTGTTTAGCTTTCTGATTGACTCGAAAAAACAATAATTATAACTCCTTAGAATTTTAAAGTTACCTCGATTCTCTAGTCCTAATTTAGGCCTATAAAATGGCCTGGACTTGGATTTTATGTTAGATTTATTTTTATATTTTGAAAACGAAGAATTGAATATTGGATTATAAGTAATTTTTGTGTTTCTTCTAATTTTGTAGAAAGCTTCAGTTGGACATCTCCAGCAGCTTCGGACTCCAACAAAAACTCGTTAGAGTACCGTACATTGGTAGCAATAGTAACAACATTCGTCGTATTATTTTTAATCTTCACAAGCTGCACTCTATGCATTCTGTTGTCAAGAAAAAATGTCGAACAACCAGCTATTATTACTACGACCAATACAATATATACCGACTCTGATAGACATAGTATTACGCTAGCAGATATCGCTGGACTCGACCTGACCACGATCAACTCGTACCCAATGGTGGTGATAGGCGAGAGTAGGCGTCAAATTAAACCTGACGATGACAAGAACTGCCCTATATGTTTGACGGATTACACCCGTGGTGACACCCTAAAAACGTTACCGGATTGTCTTCATCGCTTCCATGTTGGTTGTATTGATCCGTGGCTAAGAGCTAAAGCTAGTTGCCCCATTTGTAGAACTTCTCCTCGTCTAAATTCTTGAGCTAGTAAGTATCATTTGATAGCAAATTTTTGTTAAGGTAAATTTGGTTAACCATGTAACTTTTCCCTTTTTTTTTTTTTTTTTTTTAGGGAGAAATTTTAAATATGTACACATATTTAACTCGATAGCTTATAATCTATTGTACAATACATCATACAAAAATTGTTTTTATGATATATAGATCGATCGATGTAACTTTGTTAGGCTTATATGTGGTCATCAACCTCGGCTTTGACCTTTCGAGGTAGCAAACAAGTTTGGTGGACTAATCTAATCATTATTAGCAAATTAATTTTATGATAGACTCACGTACGTTGGAAAATGTAATGAATAGTATAATTAATTAATTAATTAATTTTATATAGTACTCCTAAGTCCTAACAAGAATTACATGACAATTGATACTTGCTCTACCATCCACCCAAATGATACAGCTTCTTGGATCGGAGCTTTAATTAATAAGTAATGACACGTCAAACCTAAATACATTTGCTTCATCATTAAATTATACAAAGCATATTCTACCATGTTTTCTAGCAGCTAGAACATTTTATTATGTCATTAATTAATCCCTTTTCTTGCAAATTTAATATAAGGAAGAAAGAATGATTCATCATTGAACTAGTAATGGTCTGAAACAAACAGGACTTTATGAAGACAATGGTAAGAGATTTTTTTACCAAGATTTTATTTTAAAGTAGTAACTCAGTGTAAGCTCGTGAAAATTTTAAAGTACAGCAGCCTGTACCTAGCAAGGTACAGGCAAAAAACGCGGAAAGAACATGTACTAGATTTTTAACGAACATAAAGTTGTTTTGTAAAGAACATATAACTGTTTTGTAAAAAACATTCAATTTTATGTTTTTTTTATACATCTAAAGAACATCTGTAATATTTATAAAGAACATGACAATATTATGTAATGAACATTATTTATGTATATTCACCATAATTTAAAAAAAAAAACATTTCACAATAAGTAATTAACATTATATCACAAATAAAAGTACATTACACTGACAATTAAAGAACATAAACATATGTTCTTCACTCTTTTTTAATATAAATATGTTCTTTTTACTTTAGATAATATATGTTCATTACTTTTTAATAGTATATTCTTTTCATTACAACGATATGTTCTTTACTTTTTAATAGTATGTTCTTTTCATTAGAACGATATGTTCTTTACATGTGTGTAATATGTTCTTTTCACGAAATGGTTGTACAATGCAAGATACCCACGCCTGTAGGAACCACACATTGGTAAGCTCGGGTCTCACACTAATTAAAATTTATAACTAAATATAGCTTCAGTGTAAAAGGCACATTTATGAAGGCCCATTCAGATATAACAAAGCCCATCTTGGCAAAGTTGGTTCAACATATAACAAGGCCCAATTTCCAAAAACCCAATCAATAGTTGTATAAAAGTTTTTTTTTTTTTTTTTTTTTTGGGGGGGGGGTCATTTTCCAGTTGCGCACATCATTCATATTTCAAATTACGGATTAATGTTTTTCACAAATTTTTATATGTGGAGGGTCTCATTGGGTGGTCAAGGTTGTTTATAGTTGTTACTTAATTAGGGCCTGTTCTGATTGATTGAACTGAATTGAATCGAACTAAACTGTATATTTATGAGAGAATTAAATTAAGAACTTAAATGAAATAAACTGAAATGAAAATAAACTGATGAGAACAGGCCCTTAGTAGTTACTTTTGAATAAGTAACCTCTGATCGATAGAGTAATCCATAAATAACTAAGTAACTTTTATTAGTAACTCCTGACCGACTGAGTAATCCTAGAATAAATAAGCCATGAATAAGTAACCCTTATATATAATCCATGATTAATTGATAATATTTCTAAGTAACTCCCGACAAACTGCATAACCCTTAAATAAATGCTTGTAATTCTGTAAATACCCTGGGAGTAAATCATTTGTATTGTGAAATGTATTGTGAAATGAATCAGAGGTTACTTTTCTTTTTCGTCCATTTTTAAATACCCCCAACCCCCCCTCCCCATACAACCATTGTTGGCTGTATTTGATTGGTTTGCATTTTGAAGGCCACTTTTCTCATTTAGTTTCTTCCTATTTTTTACTCTTATTTTTTTTCTCTCTTTTAATGTGGCATGCATATAATGGTATTGTATATGTAGCATCACTCAATAACCCTTGTCAACTGAGTAATCTCAAAATAAGAAATCTGTGTGTCAGTTGTAAATGGTCGCAACTTTCATTTCTTTGTCGTATTCCTTTGTCCTTTGACTGTCTGAGTTGTCTACTCATTTTTGAGATGGAAGTTAATTAAAGCTGGCTGGGACATGTCTCGTGACTTAGCGATTCCATTATTTTACCGAACGCATGCATGCATCTTTTCATTACTCTTACATTTTACGTACTACTATTTCCTTTTTTTTTTCTTTTTTTTTTTAATGTTAACCATTTCTTTTACTCTATGTCCCTATTTTTTTTGTTCCATTTGACCATGCACGAACGCACGGTCTACAACACCTGTATTAAAACGTCTGCTCCCTCCGTGTTTTAATAAATGTTACAATGTGACTTTTTTTTACTACTCATATAATGGTTTTGACTTGATTAATTCACTAACGTATTACTCCCTCCGTTTTTAAATACTTGCTCCATTTCTCCACGAGCGGAGTTTTAGAAGAAATTAAAGAGAGTAATAAAATATGAAGGTGCTAGGGTAGGTGAAAGAATAAACAATTGTAAAAGCAAAAATAGCGGGGAGAATTAGAAGAGAGATAATATGAAATTAATAAAATATGATTTATGTTAGGTCCATTAGGTGAGAGAAATAAATTAAATATTATAAAAGCATTCCAAATAAGGAAATGAAACAAGTATTTAAAAATGGACGAAAAAGAAAAGTGGAGCAAATATTTAAAAACGAAGGGAGTAAAAACAAATGATATTGTATAATGATAGAGTATAAAACATATTCCTGTGAATCACCGTGTAAAAAGGCATTTTTGACATCTAATTGATGTATCGACCACTTTTTAGCCAATGCTAAACTGAGGACAGTGCGAATAGTGGCCGGTTTAACTACCGGACTGAAAGTCTCATCACAATCCACACCTATTTCTTGCGACCTGCCATCACATACAAGACGAGCTTTGTACCTTTCAAGGTCACCATTAGACTTGTATTTATGCTTGAAAAGCCACATACAATTAACAATATTCACCCCCGTAGGCCTAGGCACCAAATCCCATGTCCCTGTTATAATAAGAGCATCAAATTCATCTTGCATTGCCGCATTCCAGTTAAGGTCATTAAGAGCATTTTTATATGTCTTAGGGAGCGGTGATTTATGTGAAGGGATGGTCATATTAGCTCGGTGATATTTAGGGTTTGGTTTAAAAATTCCATGTTGACTACGAGTCACACGTCGGGAAGGTGGTGGGGGATGAGTGGGCCGAATGGGCATAATGCCCCTTAATGGTGGGGGCGTGTATGTGGAATTGTTTGTAGGTGGAGTAATATGAATTTTCCTAAAATTTTATTAACATATGATTAGATAAATTAATGGTCAAAGTCGTTTATCGACATGCGTGTTTGGTCAAAGTATAACACTAATTAAAACACGGAGGGATTATATATTTATTTCCATACACGTAAAAATTATAAAAACGTGATATTAATAAAATACACAATGAGACGAATCTAATAAGACCACTCATAGCTATACTAACTTTTATAGATTAATAATTATCTATGGTCAAAGTTTTTAAAGTTTGACCCTTAAATTAGCAATGGAACAAAAATAAAAGGACGGAGAGAGTCTTAAAGGTCTGTTCACATTTACTGAACTAAGCTGACTGAACTGAACTGATTAAAGCTGAAATGAAATAAACTGAGTTGAAATGAATATTTTATGACAGAGGAAAACTAGGAGCTGAACTGAACAAAACTAAATTGATTGGATATGATTTGAACTGAATTGAATTGAAATTAAGTAAATGTGAACAGACCCTAAGTTTGAGTAAATACTACCTCCGTTCCAGATTATGTGCAACGATTAGACGTTTTTCCTCTCTGCTTTATGTCAAATCGTTGCACATAACCTGAAACGGAGGTAGTACTACGTATTTTTTTAATGAGTTTGAGTAAACTTATATGAATAGTATTTGGATGATTATATCCTTTAAAATGTTATTTACTTATTTGTCATCATTTTTTTATTTTTTTATTTCTTTTTCGAACTCTTATTAAAAATAGTGTGATTACATGTGTGCCCTTGAAGATATTTGTTTACATAATTTCTCTTATTTATCATACCAACAACTCAAGTAACCTAAGGCTAATTAAAATAACTTTCTAAACATGTCTAGATATTACATTGTTTTTTAATAAAAAAAATATTACACTTTTTTTTTGGCAAAAAAATTTATGAATTCTATTATGACTCTCTCTTCTCATAACTTACCTTCAAGCCTACTACTACTTTTTATACACCTCTATAAGAGTAATGTTACATTATAAATATACATGGTAGTACCTGACAAACGGGTCGTTTGAATCGGGTCAAATTCGGGTCAAATTGGTTCATTAACAGGGCTAGTTGTAGGGTCAAGTTATTTCGAATCGAGTCAGTTCAAGTCGGGTCATTTATTTGTTAACAATATTACAAATGTACAACAAAATAAGTACATACAGTCCCCTTCCAATTGTTATTGCAGGAGATTGAACACGAGTCATTTCTACCAAGTACAGTCTTAATCACCACTGCATCAACAATTAATTGATGAAGTACTACATTTAATTTATGAATTTGTTTTTGCACCAACTAATCGAATATTTTGGATTGGGTCAAAATTTTCAGGTCCGTCAATGGTACACTCATTCAAATAACCGTATCAACATAAAATCTAACAATACCGATAAGGTTATATTGGTACTTTATGATCTTATGTTGGTTTATATTATACCAACATGAGATGTCAAAATACCCGTGGACAAGTGTTATTCTCATATTGTTAAACTCTCATGTTGTTCACATAGACTTACAAGTTACAAGTTATAACAAGTGAAATATATTAACCTAGCTAAGAGGCTAAGATTGATATGAGGAGGTTGGAGGTATGTACTATGTAGTCTATTTGACTCTATTCTATATATGATCATATGTGGTCCAACTCTCCTACTCCATTATGATTCAAACTCATTTTTATCT